ATCGAATTATTATTGTTATGTGTTGCCTTGAATTCGGCTATGCTGTCTGTCAGACAGTTGTTTTCCTTTATTGTTGTTTTTGTATTTGTTTGTAGCAAACGCTACTGGAATGCATAGATTGAGCTACGTAGCCAAGATGATTAATAATTGACCTGTTGTACATTCGTGATATGTTTACCGGTAAACTGAATAGAACTTGATGTGCTAATGAACATTTCTCTGGCCTACAGGTCAGGTTTTTTCCCCATGTTGAACTGATCTTCTTCATATTGAAGTGGCGAGCTGGTAGGACCATTCTTTCTTTTTGGAATCGGGAAATGAGCTATTATTTACCCCATGAAAAACGGAGCGGCAGCGGGCCGCTGGAGGTGCCCTGCTAGTATGATCCCGTTTAAACTGTAAACTGCCATAAAATAAAAACTATAATAGCTAGAGCGGTCTTTTTTTAGCTGAAAGTTGAGACTCTCGCCTTTCAGCACATCTGTACTGTACAAGTCGATGATGCCATCATGTTGCGTTAAGTGTGTCTATTTCAGTAGAACTTTGACAAGTGGTGAGAAGGTGGCCAGGAGCTGGATGTTATATTCAGTTAGCAAACGTTGTTATATATACACTCCACACAATTTGAAACAAAGTTGTAGGTGTAATGTTTTTTCGTGTGTGTGTGTGTGGGGGGGGGGGGGGGGTCACAGGGGGATCTCGCACAGGGCGCCATTTAGGCCAGCTCCGCCTCTGTCTACAAGATAATGCATTTTAGCCTGTTTTTCTATATATTCTGCGGACTCTGCGACTTTTTCGTTTGTAGCACTCAGTTTCAGCTCACACCTTACATCTGGTAGCAACACGTCGGACTTAAAATGTGCTAAAAATAGCAGTTTTTACACAACACGTCGGACTTTTTATTGTGTTATTGATGTCTGTTGTCCCTCGGGGTTTCTGCAGGAGGACACGGGTATTTATGAGTGGCGGAGGAAAACGAAAGAAAGTAAATAAATGTTTTGTGATCAGTATAATTTGACAAAACCACAGCAAACATGCTTTTGGCAATCCTTGTTAGTGTGAGAAAAAAAAGTGTAGAAATTAAAACGGACGTGTGTTAATAGGGAAACAGCCGGCGAGCTGTTTGCGCCGTGAGCGGTTCTGGTTCTGTTTGGGCCGCAGCCGCTCGCAGCGTTATCCTCCTAGTTTTTGTCTGGCTTGCAGGCTAGCAGATTCTCTCACGAGGGGAAAATCGGCTCAGGTTGTTTACTTATTTTTTGCACAGGCATTTGTTTACTGTGAAGTAAAGTTGAAGTGCTGAAGTTTTGCAAACGAATTTTGAATAAAACTTGAAGAATAACTGGCAATTGCTTGCTCATTTTAAGAGGTCTTTCATAATTATAACATGCTATTTGATATCATCACTTTTATTGTCACGTCACATGTGCAGGTACACTGGTACAGTACATGCGAGTGAAATTCTTGTGTGCGAGCTTCACAGCAACAGAGTTGTGCAAAAATACAGTAATGTAAAAACAAGTAAAATATAAAAATGGCTAATCTAAGTATACAAATGAATAAAGTAAACAATAAGATAAGAGATATAAAATGTACAGAGGTTGGTATGTGCAAAACGGTGGCATTAATGTACAGTATGGAGTGTGTAATGTTGGAACTTGGTGGAGCTCGCGACGAGGCAGCCATACTCGAAGCCATCTTGGCTCATCAATATATGATATAAAGGTTTACAAACACAAAAGGGTAATTTATTAGAGTACTCGATTAATCGAAAAAAAGATTCGATAGAGTACTCGATTACAAAAATATTCGATAGCTGCAGCCCTAATTCAGTTTAATCCTGGTGGAAGGAGGGAAACCAGCTTATTACCATAACAACTAAGAGCAGTTTATCACCTTTCTCTGCAAAATGAAGACAAATGAACCCAAACCTGCACCAGTTTCTGCTTGAATTCCCAGAAAACCATTTGGGATCTAATGGACCAGAGAAAACACACATGTGGTCTAATGTTTTTGAAAAGCACCTTGTGACAACAACAGGAAATCTACTAAAACAGGTCCATTTAGGGCCCAGCCTGTCTTGGACTTATTCTAGTTAATTAAAAATAACATATTGATGGAAAATATGCTGACAATACCTTTTTTATGACATTTTATATTAATTTACACATATTTGAAGCAGCTTTTAAAATCTGCCACATAACTTAAAGACTTAGGAAAATCTCTTATTTCAATTTGCAGATTTAAAAGGCAAAAACAGAAAACTTCTTTCTATTATTGCATTTAGATACATTTTTTGTGTGAAAGCTTACCTCACTCATTACCATAGGCGTCATTTTAACCGGGGACGCCGGGGACATGTCCCCGGCAAAATTTGTGATTGGCAGCTGTGTCCTCCCCACTTTCAAAAACGCCTGCTGATGAGGATTTTTGTTTTACCAGCTCAGATCTTATGGGTCGGCAACCTGTTCCCATCAAAGAGCCATTATTACCCATTTCCCACAGTAATTCTGGACGGACCTTAATAAGCAGCGACTTAAGTGAAGCAGGCAGGTCGCGCTAGAAAATTTCGTTTAAAAAGACGTCATAAATGTGTTCCCCCGTCCTTTTTATTTATAAAATATGAAGTAAAAACTCACAATTTAATTTTCATTCATTTGTCATTAATATTTAGTCTACACCCGTGCGTTAAGTGGACCATCTTCCAGTAAACGCAAAGCATCCAGCCCACCTCTCCAAATGCGTAAAATGTGCATCAGCCGCTAGTTAGGTGCGTCGCGCGCACCATCAGCTACGTCAGCCCAGACAAGAGCAGAGCAAATAGAGAAAGAATAGAGGATAATTGTGTCTGGATGTGGATGGAGATTACATTTTACAGCAGCCTGATCATCATTTAAATACGTAAACCATCACCTGTCTTCTAGTCCACGCTGTCAGCATTATTTTAATTGGTGTGTGTGTGTGTGTGTGTGTGTGTGTGTGTGTGTGTGTGTGTGTGTGTGTGTGTCTGTGTGTCTGTTTTCCACTTCAAACACTGGTCTAACCAACCAGACCAGCGTGTCCAGTAACATATTAATGTTACAATTAAACAGTTTCACTTCATGTAGGCTAGGAACATTTCACCTGCCGTGGCCCGACCGCTTCTGCTCCACATAAACTTTGTGCGTGATCAAATGTCTCTACGCGTCATGCGTCTCCATATTAGAGACGGGAACAAGCGCTGTTCAGCCAAAGTTTCATAATTTCATAAAAAGAACATTTTTCCAAGTGACACATCCCTCAGAGAGACCGGGTTTCCAGACTGTTTCAGTGGGAGGAAATCTTATCGCATGCGCCGTTCTGCACTGCGCTGCGAACCCCAGATCTTCAGCTCACTGTCCACCGGGGGCGCTCCGAGCCGCGCTGAACACAGTGTCCAGTATAAAGCTCTGATGTTCTGATGGGAATATTTTACCTCCGCGATGTGCGTTAACGATTAAAATGTCAGCTCATCCATGCGCATCCGTGTGTGTCGGGGTAATTCTTTCAAACCAAGCATCCTTGAGTTCATCTGTCAAAATAAACAGTCAAATGGAAATATCTGTAACCTGCCGTTTAACTGTTTTGCCTTCCTGTGAAGATTGTTGCAACGAGAAACAATTAAACTTGATTAACCCCAGAGCCACCCAGAGAACCAGAGCGCATGTGGAAGGTTCCTCCCACTGAAGCGAGTGTTTTCCAAACCCTGTCTCTCAGAGAGACTTGTCACTTAGAAAATGTTCCCTGATGATGAAACTTTGGCTGAATAGTGCTTGTTCCTGTCTCCAATGTGGCGACACATCCAGGAGCCTGTCTGAGGAGAATCCCAGAATCTCACATCCTCTTCAGCTCAGAAGCGCATATGATTACGCACAAGCGTGACGCGCCAACCCGGTCTCACAGTAAGACCGGGTTGGACCTGTTCAGGTTTACGCAGACAATCTTTACATTTAGAATTGGCATACAGATGTAAAATTAATGCAGTAAAATATAAAGCATTTTATTTAAATATCCATTCATTATTTTACAAACAGAGAGCCGCATCAGATGGATGGAAGAGCCGCATGCGGCTCCAGAGCCGCGGGGTGCCGACCCCTGTGCTAGCCTACTTTATTGTCCCCAGCAATTTTTAAACCCCACCCAAGTGTATGGTTATTGTCCCCAGCAATTCTGAAAACAAACTGACGCCCTTGCTCATTACTGAAAGCCAGGACCAGAGGCACCAACGTCTTTTTTTAACCACTTTAGTGTATTTTGGCAACAAATATATTCAGCAAGTACAGTAGTATTCAAGTGACGTAGATCTGTCTGTTTTCTGAACCGTTTATCGTCAGAAGCTAATGCAGGAACTTGGGGTGGAAGACTATTTTCACGTTCAGCCTCCAAGTTAAACTCAGAGTGACTGTTGATTTTCAAAAATAATTAGTAAAACATGGTTTCTCAGTGAACCTGCTCTGTAAAATGCTGGACCAACGTCCAAATAAAGCTTCTTACACAGGAGCTGAAGTCAGCATTAAAAAAAATTACTTTTAAAAGGGAAATAGATGAAAAAAAGTTGTAAACTAAAGCTTGTTATCAACACTGCTTTCTCTTTGATCACACGCCCCACAGCACCAAAACTGTTTCATGCATTTAGTGTGGCTTCAGTATGTTTGTATGATGCAGCCTCAGATGAGCTTCTGCAGGGGAACAGTTTAGATTTAACTCTGATTTCACTAAAATAAACAGAAGTAGCAGTAACCAACCATGTAAAGTCCCAGAGGAACTCTAGTTTTATTCCCCCGAATATCAGAAGATTGATCTTGCAAAGCCTTGCAGCAAATCTTGTTCTTGCATCTATTTACTTTTGCTTCCACAAGTGGGACAGAGATATTTTCAATATAACTGTGCATAATTCACCAATTACAGATTTGTCTGTGTCATGTATTATAATCAGCATCCAGTTTCATTACTAATACTGTATACCTGATTGTGTTTTGGCTCAGGGAGTGTTGTAGGTTTTTCGGGGACGATGGGCTGACCCCCAAGGTGTTTTTCACTAAGGTAGCTCCCTTTGGCCTGCTGTGGATCCTCACCAACTACCTGTACCTGCAAGCCCTCAGGAAGATCAACACGACAGATGTGTCGGCACTGTTCTGCTGTAACAAAGCCTTCGTCTTTCTGCTCTCCTGGATTGTACTCAGAGACCGTTTTATGGGTGTCAGGGTGAGTTTCTGCTGCAAGTGCGTGTGCGATGCATGTCATCGGCACTTTTATGCTTCTAAAAGAAAACATGTTCTATTTAGATGACAATCAAACTCAAGCGCAAGGCATACAAGGCACAATGGATCTTTTTGTCATTCCCAGGATGTTATTTTGTAGCAACAAAATTCCTATTAATGACATTTTTTTCATCTCTTACTTATCTTCTTGTCACAACAAGAAAAGCTTTTGCCTCTTGGGACATCAGTCACTGCAGAAAGGCAAAAAGCAGCCAATTTGTCTGTCTGTTAGTAAAATATCTCATGAACCTCTGGACAGAATTTGATATAACTCTCAGGTAGTGAGCAATGGATGTACATCTATAACTAATTCACTTCTGGAGTCAACTGGATTCAAGATGACTATTGCAGAAGCCAATATTATGCATTTTGAACTAAAATTTGGTGTAGTCTTTCAGAACACTTACAGGTGAAACCTGATAAATTAGAAGATTGTGCAATAAGTCCATAATTCTTAATTTAAAAGGTAAAACTATTATAAAAGATAGATACAGTACATTACATACAAAACAAGTTCAGTAGCTCAAACTCTCCTGCGTCTAATCAAAACAACCATTCCCACACAATAGGGCCTAGCGACATTAACAACTCCTCAAGGGGTGGGTTAGGAGGGGTATTCATAGGTAGTTTCAGTACATTAAGCAACAACAGACAGCTACAAGTTATACGATTGACCTCCCATATTCTAGTCAGAATTGAAAAAGCTCCTTGGATAAGAAGCAAAACGTCTTCGAGAAACCAAAGAAGTCCAGTGTCCTTCATCTGAACAAAGCAAGATTTTTCTGATCAGTAAAAGATGACATGAAATCTTGTGTATGAAATTGTTCTTTGTTCAAGATTTGACCTAAACAGCTATTGACCCTTTGCACCTACGTCACGTGTGTCTGCCATGGCGGACGCCAACAAGGGATTACGTGAATAATGATGGGAGGTCAAAAGTAGTGACTGAGATGATTGTTTGTGCCAGTTTAACCTGGCTTCCACTGGTTAAAGCACAGTTCTCTTGTTGGAAGAAGTAGCACACCTAGCTGGGGCTCATAGAGCGCATTATTTACAAAAGTTAGAGTTGGCAAGCTTAGAAACCGGTGCCGTGTTCATTGCTTTGGCCAAGTCACAGACTTTGCCAGAATTCACCCCGCACCGTTTATAACATTATGTGATAACACGCATTTCACTTTACACCAGAGCTGATTTTAAAAAGTCTTACAAAGTTTAGATCCCTACCAAGAGGCAAACTCTGCCTGCCATAAATGTAGCTGATGCAGAAGAGACCCCTTGTCCACTAGTGGTGAGCTCGTGAGAGGAGCGAGTTCCCACTGAGTCCCATCTTCACGGCAGAAATAAACATGTTTACAGCCTGGAAAAAAAACATTTTAGGTTCAATAGGTCAGGTTTACTGCTATGACAACTCTGAGGGGGGTGATTTTTTTGCAACTCATCAGTTTAGATGTAATTAAAGCTTGAAATTATGAATAATTAGGGGTGTGTCCATTTGACTGACAGGTAACAGATGAGCTGTCAGTGCTAGCACTAGCGGCTTACCCTCTGCTTGCTCCAGGGAAGGCCTCGGCCTCATGGTAAAAGTGTTACAGCCTAGAAGACAGAGCATAGCAGAGTAGCTAAACTACGTTTGTTTGTGTTTTTTGTCTGAAAGCCCCTGCTAACCTCCATTAGCTTAGGTTAGCTCAGTTAGCTTATAGCTAAATTGACTCAGAGGTTGATTGGTGTCAATCATCTGCCCCCACCCTCACAGCCCCGCTCTCAGCTCCACTTTTTTAATTCCCGGGAGTGACAAGACGTGTGACACGCCAAGATGGCGGTGGTGGGGGTCGCCCACTGGGCTTCATTTCAGCTATTCCTACGGTTCACAGTGCGAAGGCTGTGTCTATCTTATATATACAGTCATTGATCCCTACCAGATTTTTGTCGCTGGCTGGGTCACCGGCACCAGACGCTACTCTCACATCAAGGGACAAGATGCGATATAATACTATAATACCGTAGACTTAGTCCTACGTTGGAACAAAATTTTTAATATCCAACAATTCACAATAATGGACAGAAACACACATCATCCATAATGAAATATGAGATTTTTAATACTAAATAAGTAATATAAACACATGACAGTTGTCATTTCATTACAGCTAGCTTGTTTTGGACTAGCTTTACTGGAATAGCTTTAATAACGCAAATAGTTTATTTGATGTCGAAAGAGGCGTCCCCGTGAGACGTGTGATGTCACCTGCAAAGGGTCAATAGCTCAGGGCATGAGAGGCCTTTGTTGGTCTTTCCCACTGTGCAAAGACCTAGTTTGGACGTCCTACAGACGTGGTCTGGACCGACAGACTTAATAGACATGATCTGCACGTCCATGCGATGTTGACTGTTTGCAGGGTTATCTTGGATCATAAAGCTTCTGGACGAATCTCTGATTTCTTCTTTACACCACTATTTATGTTTTCTGAGATTAGATCTGTGTGTTCAGAGCAGATATGTAGCATCTGTGTTCAGCATCTCCTTTCTGCGATCCCAACAACAGCGGTTTATTGTTTCCATTTACATTATTAGCACCATGACACGTCCTTGTAACCTTCAGCTGCCTTAAGGCATAGTAATGCCTCTTGTTGCTTACACTTTCAACGTCAAGTGAACTACCTTTCCTCTGAGCTTTCGTGGTTTGTTGTCCCTCATCATAACAACCAAATTCATAACACACAGTGTTCAATTCATTAGCGATGCTTTGAGTTCATTTAGCTTTATTTTTTTAGTTAAACACAGAAAAAGAGGGGTTTTTTGTGTTTGGATGAGAGGAGACAATAAAGTAAGCATTGTAGACCAAGCTCCTCCTTCTCTCCTCCCTTCCCACTCTGACGCTTTCTTTCACATCTACAGATGCCCTGCAATCTGCAGAATGGATTTCCCCTTCAGTCGTCCACAAACTGACAAGCCCCCCTCTATTTGTCCCTTGTGCGTGCTCCAACTCCCCACCCCCATTATTTGTAATGAAAAGCCTCAGTAATCGACAGCCACTGTAAAAGTGCTGCGTCTCTGCCGTTTTCAAACCCTGTCACTCGCTCTGGTGCTTTGTGGTGGGGACTGCAGTGCTAGGAAGTCAGCAGCAGTGCGGGGGATCTTGGACGAGTTTGTCATGAGAGGAAAGGAGGAGGAAAATCTTGACTAATGCAAAGACGCTCTTAGTTAAAAAGGCATAAAATTATTATAATTTCCCCAAAAATATGAGCTAAAACTTTCTAAAGTGCTTTTGGGTGACTTGTGTTTGAATTTATGAGCTGCAAAAGTGACACTAAATTAGCATACCGGAGAAAAATTTTCATGCCTAAACTGTGCTGACACGTTGTCATTGTCACTGATCCTACAAGCAAACTGGTGTTCACTGAAATGAAAGTCGCAGCCGTGACTGACGGGAAGCCCGCAGTGCAAAAAGAGCAATTTTGCCAAAAGTGCCTCGGGGCTTTGGCCGAGCAGAGAAAAACACACGGTTCATTTATCTTCCTGACACCTCTTTAATGCAGAGCTAATCCACTCAGCTGGACTGCATCATGTGCCCAATGCTATCCCTCAGCCAAACACCCACCATGAATGTAACTACAGCTTCAGATTGAACACAGGCACAAATGTGTGAGAGACAAAAACAAAAAACGAGAGAGATCTGGGTTTAGTGCATCCAGGATGAGTGTGAGCCAGATGATCTGGTGTCATGCTGAAGCCACAATAATCGCTGAGGCAGGGAGTGGGAGGGATGAGTGGGGGCTGCTGGATGGAGGTGGGGGGTGTGGTTTATAAACATGTAAATCAATGTCAGACATCCAAACCAACACCATAGAAGTGGCTTGTCCCGTGTTGCAGTGTGTGCACCATGAACCTGAGATCTGAAGCTTCTCTATTTGAATTTCAGAAACACCAAACGAGCATCCTGCTGACAGCCAACAACAACTCTGACAACAGTCACATCTCTTACCAAAGCAGTTGTTTGTGGCGAGTAATTTTGGCAACAAACAACATAGTAGAAATCACTCAGAAGGACTCTTGGGTGTCTTAAAACGAGAATGTCTCCCATCTGTCGTTGTCTGATGATCCGTCTCTTCCACAGATAGTAGCTGCTATCTTCGCCATAGCAGGCATCGTCATGATGACCTACGCTGATGGGTTCCACAGCCACTCCGTCATTGGCATCACGTTGGTCGTGGCTTCTGCTTCAATGTCAGCACTCTACAAGGTATTCAATTACTTAGCCTCACGGGGAGCCTAAGTCAAGCCCATCTACTTCTAGTCCACAGGTCCGTTACTGTCAAAAATATGAATGGGAGTCTATGGAGCAATAAAAGCTATTTTCTGATCCTGTTTGATACACGCTATGGATTTCACATATGACCTCCAGGAAATTTTAAAGACATTTCGATGTCAAGAGTGCGCAGATTTTTGACAGGCAGCAAAGGTCGCTTTAGGTTTTGTGTGAAAACACGTACTGAACTCGCTAAATTTACGTCATCAGACCAGACAAGGAGAAGAAGAATAACTGTGAGTTTAGAGAGCTTCTCGTCCTTCCTGGGCAAAAGAAGGAGCATTAAACGTGAAAACCACTATACATCTGGCCGTGTCGAAAGTGGAAGCTACGCTGGGGGAGAAGAAATTCTGCGGGGATGTCATGCAACTTCTGATTTGTAGTCTTTAAATTACACATTTTTACCAGCAAACAAATCTCAAAATACGTTACAAATATAGTCGCAACACACATAATTATTTGTCATTTTAATTGAAGTACAGTATGTGTAATTTAGTGGTGTACGGTAAACCAGAGCAGAAAATAACTTTCATCCCTCCTTTGACTTAACATGAGCTGACCGAAAGGGGCGGAGCTCCCTATAGTGATACTTTTATCCACAGTGGCACAGAAAAATATTAGCAAACTTACATGTACGAATAGTAGAGGACTGGTTTGCTTCTTGAGACGAACTCAAGAGGTAGAAGAAAGCAGAAAGTAAGGACTCGGCTGACAGAGGTGTGTTAACTTCAGGCTGAAATACCTAGATCAAGGGAGGCAAACATCTAAATGTTGACAGGGTTTTCTCTCCAGTACTCTGCTGTTTTTGCTGTCTACTGTCATAAACAGAAAGGAGTGACCTCAAGCTAGAAACATGGCAGGTACTTGGCAGGCAGTGCTCCAGTAATGCCCCTGAGCTTTGCAATTCATCTATCCTCCCATACTTTGTCCCTAGGTGCTGTTTAAGATGGTTCTGGGAAGTGCCAAATTCGGAGAGGCTGCTCTCTTCTTGAGCATTGTTGGAAGCGCCAACTTTGTTTTCCTCAGCTTTGTGCCATTGATCCTGTATTTTACACATGTGGAGTACATCGGATCGCTGGCAGACATCCCCTGGGCGTACCTCTGTGGGGTTGCAGCCCTGCTTTTTGGTAAATAAAGATCAGTTATCAAGCACTTTATTTTACACTCTACACACTGTTGTGATTGAAATGTTATTACATGGTGTGACTTTCTCATCGTGCGACTTTATGGCGTTTTTCTTGCAGCTTTCAATGTCCTGGTAAACTTTGGCATTGCGATAACATACCCCACATTAATTTCCCTTGGCATTGTCCTAAGTGTTCCTGTAAATGCAAGTAAGTGTCCCAACCTTCCATTTGATCGTGACATTAAGATCTGCTCAAAATTAACCACCAAAAATGAAAATGAGCTTCTCTTTAGGGATGCAAAAGGTTTTAAAGAGAGCTGAAAGTCGGTAATAATAACAGTGGCACACTGCTGTGCAAAAGTAATTCAATAACCTTGATGGCAACTCTGCAGTCTCTCTTAATGGTAACTGGTAATGAGTCTCTCACATCACTTTGGAGGAATTTTAGCTCATTCATTTCAGCAAAGTAATTTTATTGCAGCCACATTAGAAGATATTCTGCTTTACCCCTAGCCTAGAAATCTAGACAGACAGTAGCCCTCCGTGTCGATCTAGCCACGCTCCATTAGAGCCTCGGCAGTTTTTGTGCCTTGCCAATCACAGCGCTCCAACGGCTTGCTGGGCAGAATGTTACCGTGACTGAGCGAAACAATAAAAATGTCTTTGGCATCAACTTTGGACTATTTAGACTTGAGCTTTTCTTTGAGTCGAGCAATTAATTGGTCCAGCCCTGTTCCATGAGTTTAGTTTTGAAAGGATTCTGTTGAAAAGCAATGTCTGACTTTCACTGGTTCCATTTCATACTTTTTTGTCAGATTCAAGTTATTTCTGTGGCCACTGTTTTTCTTTCATTGACCGAAGGGTACCAACAGTGTTGTCTACGTCTGTACATAAAACAAAAATGATGATATAACAAAAATAGTACCGCGTTCCAATCATTTATATGACTAAAATTCCCCGTGTCAGTTGTACCAATTGTATGTAATAGTACACCCTTGTATTTCAACAGTGGTGGACTTCTTTACGTGTGAAATCCACTTCAACACGGTGCGCCTCATTGCTGTGTTCATCATCTGCCTGGGTTTCCTCATGCTGCTGCTACCGGAGGACTGGGACCAGTGCATCATTCGGCTCAGCACCAAGCTGCGCAAACGGGACGACCCAGGAGAGGGGAACGGGGAGGCCACCACAGGGCTCGGCTGGAGAGCGAGAGGCAGAACCTCCCTGTCAACATTTGCACATTGACTCCATAAATGAAAAGGACCTACCAGGTTCTCTGCTTCTTCATTTGCACAGCTCACGCTGGTTTGGACTTGTGATCAGTAATTCAACCATGAGGGAGAACGTGAAGGAGGCTCAAATTGTGTAGCATCCGATTCCACTTTGAACTTACGAGCTGGACTCAAAGCTTGGACGTCTGCATTCTTACTTACCCATCAGGTAAAACGGAGTCATGTATTCATTTTTACCAGATTCATCACATCCTGGAAAGACTTGCCAACTTAACTGATGATTTCAGTTTTAGAGAAAAAAAGAGAAACAACCTACAATGAAATGTTGAATTTTCTTAACCAAGTTATACCAGCTGGTTCTACTAGCAGCTTAAGGCCTAGTCCACACGTAGCCGGGTTTTTAAAAAAACTAATATCCGCCCCTCCAAAAACTTGCATCCACACCACCTCGTTTTAAAAATAAACTCTGTCCACACGTACCCGGATAAATACGTTGTTAAGAACATGCCAGACCTGTAGGCGGCAGTACTTCCCCCGTTCTTAACCTCGTCCTTCGTCTGAGGTCTTCCGCAAGGAGCAGTAATTCCGCTTGCAAAAACAAACAAGCAAAAAGCACTTGGACAATTGATAAAGCGAGCGCAGATATGAGGGCATCCATGATGCCGGCTAGTGTAAACACAGGTCACACACGTGATGTCAGCATTTTTTGTTGCGGAAAGTGACGTTGCGGACCTTAAAACTCCGGTTTTGTCTGTCCACACGCAGACACCCAAAACGGAGAAAACGCAGATCTTCACTTTGGCCGGAGATCTGTTTTTGTGTGAAAAAACTCTGTTTTCGTGTGGATGACAGGCCAAAACGTAGAAAAATGTCTACGTTTTGGCAGATCCCCGGCTACGTGTGGACAGGGCCTAAATGTCAAGAGTGATAGACATTGTTAATCATTCCACTAAAAGTTTATGCATATTACTCTCTACATTTAAGCAACCAGGTTTAGAGGAACCAGTTGACATAACTTGGTTAGTACATTTAAACATTTCTTTCTTACAGTGTATAAGGTAGAACCACCAGCTTCTAAGCCAGCTGGTTTTAATGAGTGTTCACATTTACGCACATTTGATCCAAAGAATAACAAAGGTGAAGGCCCACAGTGGCATCCATCATGTTCAAACCTAACTATGATTACCTATCTTTTACTTTTCTTTTTTCTTTGTTTGCACTGTACATAATTATTTTTAACACCTTGGATGTCCTGGAGCTGGGACTCAGATGGTCTCATTTGGTGTGAAGGAATCTGTCCAGACATCTGAGGATCAATCAGACCTAATAAATAAATAAATAAATAAGGCTTTCTCTTTACAGCTTGAAAAACAAGGTCACACTCTTTTTGACCACACGAGGCCCGTTTCCACTATCGGAACTTCTGGGTAATTTTACCGGACCTTCGTAGCATGGGAGGATTAATTTCTGGGCCATTTCAGGAACCAACGGAGTACCTGAACTAGGATTTGTACTCAAACCTGTACAGTTGCTGGGTGGGACTTGAGGTTTTTGTATTTTTTCGTATTTGTATTTATTTTTCCGTCATAACAATACATATAAAACACGTGAAAAGGAAAATAATTATCTAATAAAGATCATAATAATAATTGTCACAAGTACAACTTCCTCTTATAAATTAAACAGTTTCTTTAGATATAATTTATGAACGAAAAGGTATAAGCTGAAGTTAAACTTGTTTAAGCCTACCCATTAATTCATTACAAAACCCATTAATTTACAAAAAATCAACAGTGTCATAAATATCAAAAGTAAATAAACATGTAAACAATACAGTTATTACATGCATCATCCTAATTTCAACAAAATCAGTCAAGAGGTATAAACGTGTGACGAAACTAATTTTGGTGTACTTGGTAATTACTTAATACCTGCATCATCTTAAAGCTCAAGCTGATTGGTTGTAGCTCAGTAGGAATTAAATTGAATTGAAGGAACATTCTTGCTGGTTTAAAAACACTGTTTCTGAACTCCCGACGCTGAAAAGTACTGCTATCACAGTGAGTGATTAACAGGCATCTGCAGCACCTGATGTCCTCCCGAGGAGCCGATGTGAATCAGGTGTGCTGAAGCAAAGGCATGGAAACATGTAGGACAGTGGGCCCTGGAACCTGGGTTGGGAAACCCTGTAACAGAACACTGTAAAAGAAACGGCGCATCGTCTGGTCATTGAACGCCATTTTTTACAACACACAGCCACCCTTGCGGTCCCCCGAATGAAACACACTAAGGCGTACTTCAACAGAATAAAGCTTTTAATTTTATTAATGTCCTTGGAGGCCGTTGATGGCTGGGCAGCAGTAGCTCAGGAAGTGGAGCTGGTTGTCAAAAAAATTGAAGGTTGTAGGATAGATCTCGGCTCCCAGCAGAGAACTTTGCCGTTGTGTCCTTGAGCAAGACACTGGTGGTCAGAGGGGCCGGTGGCGCAGCCTTGCTTCCATCATTGCACCCCAGGGCAGCTGTCGGTACATTGTAGCTGATTACCACCAATGTGTGAATGTGTGTTTGCATGGGTAACCCTAGAGGGCGCTATACAAATACAGGCCATTCACCATTTATCAGTGCTGTTCGCTGCTTAAATAGTTGATATGCTGACGTTTTAGCAAAGTTCTTTAAGGGTTCATTTTTATTTTATACAACGTCTGAGAGGACCGAACCATCTATCTCCCGGTCCCTTTATCCCCTCCCAGATGTTTCCCAGAGCTCCTACAGTGGAAACGTGGCTACTGTCTGGCCTCTTTTGGGTTGTATGTGGCTTAATTCCTTCTGTCACTACTTATCCCTTATTTCAGTGCATGAGAAAACTGAGGTTTATTCGTTTTAAATGATCCAACACATCACGTTTTCCTGTCTTTTGACGGGCTAAAGCATTAGCTTACAGGCACCACTTGTTTTAACTCCTTCGATTAGCTCTAATCGCTATCACCGAGCCTCTCTTTGACTTCTTCTCACATAAATTCAGACGCACACAAACAGTTGATCTCATGTAAAAGCGGCATTTCGGTGTAAACCTTTCTCACCATGTTTAGAGGAGAGACATGCTGAAACAACTTTTAAAAAAATGGTTATCATATCTGCTTTCAGTTATCACATTTCTGAGGCAGGCTACAATGAAGACAAACCAGACGGACTGAGGCCCACGTCTTGTGGGAACTCTGCCTTGCTGTGAATGTATGAACATCACTCCGCCACACATGCTCACCAACATGCTGTCTGCTTTATACAGTGCCACTACTGACTTCTGCAGAGAGAAACTCTTTAGTACTTATTTTTATTATTATGTTTTATTTTATTTTATTTATTTTTTTTGCAGGATGGGACATTTTCTCAATGCACTGCAGAGGACTTTTCTAGATTTTTGCATTTAGTTGCTGACTAACTTCATGAAGGAAAGTAACAGATATCCACAAAATGAGCATGCATACCTTACAAGCAGATGCAACAAAAAGTCCACTTCACTGCCTTCTTCTCGTTGTTTTTGCAATAGAGTACATTAGCACTGTTTCCCATTGTCATTATTTATGACAATAAACAACAATATTGTATTCCTCTGGAATTATCGCAAGACATAAATGTAAACCTTTGTAAGGAATCATGATTTTTACACTGAGATGCAACATATGATTATCACGTTTATGGAGGAACTATATAGAGCGTGAAAAAAACGGGTTTATTAGACCTACAGTTGGGTGTCTTCAAGTGTAACATGTACTGTATAAAAAGATTTCTTTTCTGTATGTTCTCTTGTCAAGGCTTGTTTCTTCATGAAGATTTCATCTTAGCTCCTTTGCAAAGTAAAATGAATGTGCACATGATCACAGGTCTTAGGAGGTTGGCTAGTTTCAGTTGATGGTGATGATACATTTTAATCCCAAAACATTCATTAAAAAAGTAAATGCATAATTTCTTGTTGCAGAGAATTTAAAAGGATAAGTAGTACACACTTAAGAAAACAACTGCTGAGCTCCCCTTAGCTAGCTTAAACCCTGTCTACAAATCCAAAGGCAACAAAGCCAGGTCAACATCAGCCCCTGATTCCATAGCCTCCTTTAGCTCCCTGAAATAAGTGTAGGCTGGTCACTCTGGTTTAGCCTTTCGCTTCACTTCCAAACACATTACTCTCTGCCTTTAACTTCCAGGCTCTGCCATTTTGCCAAAAAAGCAAACTTTTATTTTTTCTTCTTGTGTTATTTATTGATTGATTGATTGATTTTATTGACCGTTGCCAAATGGAAAATGCTAACTGGTAGCCTTTAACATAGCTACCGGCACAGAAAATAGCTAACAGCAAGCAGGTAAAGAGCGCCTCCTGGGACACCTAACCGCTCCACAAAACTGTTAAGTGCAGAATCTGGTCAGCAGAGCGCTGCAGGTGTCCCATGTGAAGTTAGTCAAGTTTCTACCAACACAATCACTGAACCCCACTTTTAAAGAAACTCATTAAAGCATTAAAATGTGCTTAGTGGTGCTTTAAACAAAGACTAATTTACATGTTTATATGCTGTGTTGCTAAAAGAACATTAATCCTTACATTAAAGTACCTAGGTTGAGTGGAGCTGTTACAAGCCATGTAGACGGTGAGTGTGAAGGGACATCAGAGGCTGGCGTGTGGTTGGAAGCTATAAATGAAATGTGTTTTGTTCCAAGAACAAGGCTCAGCAGGAAGACGGCTGCTTATGTAACAAAGTAATTAACACTAAACTAAAACAGTTGACACAACTTAAGTTAACTCAATATTTCTTTTTCTAGAGTGTAGTGAGCAGCACCTTTGTAGCAGCTAAAGGTTTTGGCATTTTGCAACATTTATTATAAATGCATTAATTTAAAACCTCCAGAAATTACTAGCAAATATTATGATCCACTCTGACTGTAATCTGTCCAAAGAAAAAAGTGGCCTGTTGCTGGTTAGTCAGAGCAGAAAAAGGAAGTCTGCTTCCCTCTTGAGGCCGAGACGGAACCTGCAAATTGTTTTTCCCAGAGGAGGACGGGGTGTTCCCACAGTGACGAGCTTTACCCGCACAAACCTCAGGGTGACACCTAAAGCCGCCACTAACAGTGACAATAGACACAGTGTTTGCGCTGGGAGGTGAAGTGGGTTGTGTAGAGGTCAGAGAGCAGGGGTCACTGCTCCTGACATCAGCTCCCTGTGCTCCAATCAGCACACTCCCCAGATGAGCTCCTAATTTGTGCCCGAATCTCCAAAGAGCGCTTTGGAAACGCTGACTTAGCAGAGCATAAAGGAGAGGATTGATGTCAGAGTTCAGTAGCATCAGCCAGTAGGAGAAGGTGACGACAGAGTCTGGAACGCGGCTGGGCTGACCTGCAATTGCAGTTTCTGTGGCCTGGATGAGAACCACACTTATGTAGGGGGTCCAACAGATGAGGAACGCTGAAACGATGAGGAGAAGGCGCATCGCTCCGTGATGGTGCTGTGTGTTCTGTACAAGTGGCTGTGAGTCAGTGTGAGCATGTATCTGTCTGGAAGCCCCGTGGCTCTGTTGTGCAGGGTTTCCAGGAAGAACAAGACAATTATTTCCCTCTTCTGAGCTGAATTGAGACACAAACTCTCTATTTATGTGATGGATCAGTCTCCAGGCACTATGGAGGCTCCTGCAGTGCTGATGAGATGAATCAGTGTGAGAGCAGAAAGAACAGGAGTTCCTGCTGCGCTGGACGGAGTCCTCCAGAGAGTGAATCCTCCTGGCGTGGCTGAGGGCCACTTTGACAATGTTCACATAGCAGAAGATTATCACTGATGCAGGTACGAAGTAGGTAAGAGCAGCCATGAAGAGTGTGTAGCTGGAACTGTGGGCCCAGTCGATTGCACAGATGTACATTGGAACAACATAGCTGATGGAGCTCCAGCCCATTAGTGGAGGGCTACAAGAGGCCAGGGCCAGCAGCCAGATCCACAGGACCACAGCACAGAGCTTCCACAGGGTGCAGCGGGAGCTGTAGCGCAGGCAGTCCATGATGGAATGATAGCGGTCAAGAGCAATAGCTGCTAGTGTCAGAACAGAAGCTGTGCAGAACACAGAGGAGGTGTAGCCGATGCACAAGCAGAGACGCTAACAGACAGGAGAGAGACACAAATCTCATCACAAAGACAGCCAAAAGATCAAAAAACAGAGAAGCTTTGTCAGAAAAGGTGAGCTTAAATCTAAAATGTGTCACTCAAAGTTCACTTACCGTGCACTGGACCCATCTGTGGTTCATGATGGACAGGGCAATAAAAGGCATGACTCCAACACCCACCAGGAGGTCACTGAGGGCCAGGTTCATGATCAGCACAGAAGTCACCACACGGAGGGTCTTGGTTGCAGCCACAGTAACAATGACAAGAACATTACCTGCGCAGAAATTAATCACACACAATCAATGACTCAGAGGTCCGACTGATTGGATTACAGACCTGCAGCCACCTTAGATGGCTGAAACTGAATTATGCTCAAATAGTGACCTCATAATTTATCTTGAAGCTGCGGTATGTATGTATGTATGTATGTATGTATGTATGTATGTATTTATGTATGCATACATACATACATACATACATACATACATACATACATACATGCATGCATGTATGTATGTATGTATGTATGTATGTATTGTAGTGTTATGAATATTATAATTCTCTGCCCTTAACAGCTGCCCCTTTACACAGTAACAACGTGTAGGAATCGCCAAGGTCGGGTGCGGGTGTCTGAATGTTTACATTCCAAGAGAAGAGACAGAAGAAGAGAAGAAGAACGCTTTCCATTAATTAATCAAAGTACTTTATTTGTGATAAAGCTAATCAAAGCATATGTTGATCAATAATAATCAGGTGAATGATCTGTGAAATAAAGATGTCATGAGTTATGTGTTTAATGAATAAACAGGACTGCACCAGACAGACTGATCTACATTAACATGGAAACGCATGACACATTGTTCTCAACCAATCAGAACTTTCGTCTGTCATAGGGCAGAATCTGGGTTGTTTACTTAAGTTGTCCAATCCGGTTTACTAAGATTTATAAACAACTAAGTGATATAAAACAAGGCAACGCCATTTTATCCTCAGTTCCATCTCAGCCTCAGTTTTGTTCGATCTGAGTTCCAAAGGAGTTACATCATAGACTCAACGTAGTTTTCAACCAGCTCTCGATCCATCACCGCTAAGAGAGGTGCAGCCTGGCCAGATGCACTTTCTACTTTAAGCTGAGAACTGTCAAGCTGGAAATTTCTGTCATTTGAACAACAAGACGACGGTTCCTTCACAATAAAAGCTGAACCCGCCCAGATCTGCTGCTACTGCCGGAGCTATCCGTAGACTGGTTTGTCGTGCTGCACCACTGTTTCATCAGCCCAGCACCAAGGGGGTTCGAGGACCTGACACTCCTGATCTGACCGTGGGAGACTCCATAGGTACGTAGTCACGGCACAAGATGGCGGCTCATGTCATGAGCTTCTGAAGCCTCGTGGTCCGTAGTCATAACATCAGACAACCAGATCCGCCTACGTCAGCCTAGAGATCCTGAACCCACACACACACACACACCAACACGATAACATTCAGATCCATATACATCCATCACAGAGTTAGTCCTGGTAGATTGTAAGAATTTATAATTATAGAAATTAAAGATTCTTAAACGATCCCAACTCTCTCTTTTCTTGTCTCTCAGTCAATACAGAGTGTTTAAGTAAACTACCTGATGATAAAAATAACCACTTCTGATTATAATATTTAGATCTAATTACAGTGAATAAATATACAAACTACAGATCACTACAGTATGTATGTATGTATGTATGCATACATACTTACATACATACATACATACATGCAAGTATGTATGTATGTATGCATACATACATGCATGTATGTATGTATTTATGTATGCATGTATGTATGCGTGCATGAATGAATGAATGAATGAAGTCCAGAAATGGTCAATTTCCACCTACATATTAACCTAGATGCCACTGGTCATCTGCAGACTTAATTCTATCCCCTAAAGTGGATTTTACACTCTATCTTCCTGAAGCCAGAAGGATACTGCATTCCATCAACTGGAGTTCAGAGCCTCTCTACAGCTCTGAACACATGATAACGTATTGTCAACATCATGCCCTTCCTCAAGGCCTTAAGCTGGCCTTATCTATCCTCCTGCTTCACAGGACAAAAGATGAACTTCCACATCTAATAAGTTAAATAACCATTAAATAAACATTTGTTTATTGTCACTTATAATAATTATAATATGAATGAAATGCTTTCATTAATCTGTGCTTGAATGACTGAAGTTTGAAATTACTTATATATATGATGAAATGAATGTTGGATATGACAAGGTTCATTAGAGATAAATTAAAGTTAAGTTAAATGTCATGACACATAGATATTTTCTTACCCCCACAAATCAGAACCTCTGTATCTGAAAGAAGGCGTGTTTCTGAGATTCTTGGTAATATCCCTTAACATGGCACGCTCTGATTTGTTAAGAAATTAATATGAGAATATAAAAACAGAGCTCACTTTACGGTGACTCGGTTCTAGAGAAAGCTTTGGACTGGCCATCCGCAGTGAAATCTCTTTAACCCTGAGCAATGTTGGCAAGCTGCCAAAACCCTGCTAAAAGCTGCGTACAGCTGACACAGCCAGAAGCAAGCCGAGACAACTTCAACTCCTTAAGAGTTATTCCTGAGACACTAACTAGTTCCAACCTGTGTGCCTGGTGACATCTCTGGATTGGGGAACTCGGTACAGAGGTCAATCTACTGGACCTGGGTGCCCAGAGGTCATCCGACCTCCCTGACCTCCGGATCCGCAACGAGGGTCTCCAAAAGGGTGAGGCAGAACACAGTGAGATTGCATCTGATGTGTCTTTGATAAGAACTTCATAGTTAATGCAAACCAAATGCTTTTCACCCTGAACTCAAGTTCTTCTAGATACAAAGGTTCTGATAATCTCATTCACACATGGTCACCATACATCACATCCTCTCCACCTAGATTCATCTATCACAGTAGCCTTGGTTAACTTGTCATATTTTTAATTGTTTAGAAAATAAATTCTTACTTTTTATAAACTTGACTCTCTTCTTGAAGTAACACAAAGTGTGTCTGATCACTGAAAAAGCAAAGAATCCTAGAATCTTCTGATTAAACATTCAAAGACCAAGCAGGTTGATATTCTACATTTATATAGAATATTACATCTTCCTGGTCATAAGTAAGGTAATACAATAAGCTTAAATGCAACACGTTTACCATCTCTACATATTATATGTACAACGCTACATATGTATGTGTGTGTGTATGTATGTGTGTGTGTGTATGTGTGTGTGTGTGTGTGTATGTGTGTGTGTGTATGTGTGTGTGTGTATGTATGTGTGTATGTATGTGGTTTAAACATTTTAAAGCAACTTAAAAATGTTTAAATGTGACTACTTGACCCTGTTCTATGATAGAATCTTTCATAATTCATTACTCCTAAGTCCCCTAACCTCCACAGCAGGGGTGTCAAACTCATTTTAGCTCAGGGGCCACATTGATGAAAATCTAGTCCCAAGTTGGCTGGACCGGTAAATTAAAAACAACTTCAGATTGTTTTCTTTGTTTTAATACAATCAATATAAAACAAAGCTGGAGCCTGAGGACAGTGTATCCAAAATAGTACAAGTACAACACCTGAAGTGTACTTGAAAATTTGAATAAATAAATAAATAAAACATTCCTTAGTGATTCAAAGAGCTTACAGATCACATGGCTAGATCAGTTTCATGCAGCACTTAAAGTATATTTGACTCATTTTACTTAACATCTTTTAGCTTTCACCAGCACATCAATATCAGAAGTCACATCCTGAGTGGCGGCCAACTTCAGGATGTGATTCAAGTTCTTGTGTGAGCCTTGGGCGCAGCTTTGTTTTATTTATACTCATTACAGAGGAAACTTGCTCACAAAGATAAGTTTATTTTCACTCTACATTGTAAAGTATGAAAATAAAGTTTACACAACCATCCCGCGGGCTGGATTTAACACATTTGCGGGCCGAATCCGGCCCGCGGGCCATATGTTTGTCACCCCTGCTCTACAGCAAAACCAATCATTTAAGTGAGCCTAGAACATTGACCAATAGAGTTGCATATCCACAAGAAGGAGCTGTCAATCAACAAATAGGCGCCCTAGTCCCCATGGCCCAAACAGCTAATCACCTTAGCACACCAACCTAGCTTAAATGCTAAGTGGACCTGCAAACTTTGAGCTAACTGTGGAAGAGAAAGGGATAGAAAAGGGATTTCTCTTTTGTGTTTTGGAGCTAAGTGATTAGCGTAGCATTCAACCTTACGCTACATCTAGACGATTGTTTTAGCATTAGCAGGGGTATGCTACCACCAAGAATGCCAAATTCCTGCTGGTTTTAGATGTTTCCCTGCTCCCATCCATTGAGTTTCATGGCTGTTGCCAGCTCCTGATCAGAAGATTCTAGATGACAAGTGCTGAATGAATAGATGTCTTATATTAAATGCAGATCTTTTCATGGTCCTGGTTAATTTTTTTAGGGCCTCACACAGACAAGCGCCATTGGTGATCTTCTCCGTACACCCCCAGCAGGTCCCTGAGGTCCTTTATTAAGCTGCTGAAAACTGTTCCTCCTCTTCTTCCTCACTGGCTTCTTTTAGTGCTGGTGTTTCTGTCTCTTCTATATTTTTCAAGCTCTTGTGCTTACATTTTTATTCAGGTTTTTATTAAATTGATTCCTCTCATTTTTCCTTCTAATAAAAAAAGTAAAAACTTACACGTTAGCATATTCTGGCATTAAGAGAGAAGACCTGATGAAAACCTGCTGTTCACGGTTAGATTTAATTGGATGTTTTCATCACTACAGAAAGAAATATTGTGGTACAAATAGTGAAAATTAACTTTTTTTGAACACAATGGAGTAAAACATCAACTAGAAGTAGATTTATTGCCATTATGTTATTCAGTCAGTTTGAATCTTACCGATCACAGCACCCAAGCACATCAGCACCATCAGCACCTCCAGGAGCGGCTGGCTCCACCCAGACACTTCGCCTGCTTCAACCTCCACCCTGCTCATGTTAACTGCTGCGGCCCTCAGAGGTGATCCAGAACCGTCCTGATCCTCCATAACCGGATCAGATTACTGGTATTTCATCATTAGTCACGTAGAAGCATGATTTAGCTGGAAGAGCAATTATCTGGAGCCCATTTGCTCTTTCTGCTCCCATTCTGTTCGGATGAATTTCCAGGTGAAACAACTCCTTTATTTAAAAAGGGGAGGGGGAGGAGTCATTAGCATCTGTACTTAACCCGCTCAATGCTCCGTTCTTTAATGTCCTTTATTAAACAAGAAGACAAACATATAAAAAATACTTTTTTATTCAAAAGGTACATTTGACAATATTACAATTTTCATTCATCTGTAATAAAAACATAAGAATGCAGAAAAAGATGTTAAAGTGGCAGAAATAGTAGCATCTGTAGGTTTGTATCCCTCGTGTTCCACATTAAAAAAGTACCTGTATGTAGGCTGCAGGGCTGCCAACGCTGAGATTGTGCCCATTAATTTAACAGCATGCCATGTGGAACCTTTATAACCAGGGTTGATCTTTATGCGTGACTCTTACTAAGCCACAGCCGGTGCACTGATGGATGGTGGCCACCCTGAACCCCGAGTGAGTCCAGACTAAAGAACATGGAAGTCCTGAAAGCCGGCACATTATCTATATGGAAAACCATCAAGAGCAAAAATGCACAGCTTCTGTAAGAGGGGCAGCCCTTTTTTGGGTTTTTAGCCGACTTTCGATGAACCAGAGGTGAGATGTTGCCGTGTGTATTCCCATATCAACAGGGCAGCACTCACATGCACGTTGAGTGAGCGGATGACCCCTTGTTGGGGGATCTCCACACACACGTCCAACAACTGGAGCAAATTGGCAGGAATACCTTCCCGTTCGTTGCTGCAACAGAAAAGGAAGGTAGACACTTGTGAAAAGAGACAAAAACAGATCAACACAAACACACACAAAAACAAACCACACACTTAAATTGGTATTTTAAGTGCATTTCTGTGTAAAAGGTTTCACTTTTCACTATTTAACACTTTATGAAGAGCTTACTGAACAACCTGTGTTTAAGGAAATAGCTTTTACTTTCTATAGGACTAACAAGCAAAAGACTAGTCTGAATACAAACGAAGACCAAAGTGTTCCGCTGCTATAGTTCAGTATAAAAGAACACTCCAATCAGAAAAATTCACATTACTTCACACTTCTATATTGGCCTCATTTTCTTCAGAGGCTGTTCAGGAAGTTCAGAAAGGTAAAATAGTATTTTTTAATCAGCCAAAAGAGAAAAAATAAGCAAATCTTACAATTGCCAAAATATCCCTTTAACTTATTTTATGTTTGTTTAATTAGATCTGAAGTTCCCTCCAATGACCACTGTAACGTCACGAATGGCCTGATTTTGAGATCCAACAGGTCAAATGCACAGCCAGGTCAACTTACCCTGGCTATGACACATCCTACAGTATCTTTTCCCCTCACAGGAGACTGGGAGTCTACACGTAGTCCCTTTAATCAGAGCCTAATTCCTTACATCAGCTGGACTGCAGCTCTGGGAGATAATAAAACATAAACAATAACATTCTCCTCCAAGGTCCATCACAGAGGAACTCTTTTAAATGAACTCCTCTATTCCCAGAGAAAAGAAGAAAGAAGATTTTATAATTAAAAATAATAATTGAATGAACTTTTGTTATTGCTACTTATAAAATTATAATTAATGAAATGTTCATTAATCTGTGCTCAATGATATATGTTAGCATGTTTACTGGATGAGGTCACTCACACAAGGACAGAGTAAGTTAAGTTAACGCATGACACATAAGTTAATCTTTTGCCCAGATTCAGAGTCTCCATCACAGAGGGTGTGTCTCTGAGATGCTTGGTAATATCCTCAGACTTGTCAACTTTTGGTTGGCTAACCAAGACAACATCAATTCCTAAAAATCAGATCACGCTGGTTTTGCTTCAGTTCTACTTCAGGATAAACGGTTCAAACGCCTCAACAGTTCGAGTGTTTTTAGAGGGAAAGCTTTAGACCGGCCATCTTTTGCATAACCTCTCTAACCACAAGGATTTTGACACATCTGACAAAACCCTTTTGACCTTTTTCGCACCTGCGAAACTGAACCAACAAGATAGTTTCCTGCAGAACAAAGCTGGCGCAAACTCCTTCAGTTATTTTTAAGACGCTTGGTTTCATCAATCGTTGTGACCTGGGGAGACATCCCAGGACTGAGTGGGCGCATCGAGGTTTTTCTACGAGCCAGGTGCAGTGGGGTCGTCGGCCCCGGGACATCTCGGATCCAACGGGGGTCTTCCAGAACGGGTGAGGTAGACACAGCGAGAAAGCGTCTGCATGTGGCTTTGATAAGAAGAACTTGATAGCTTATTTGCAAACCAAATTCTCTCCATCCAGAACTCCGCTTTCTCATGATTCTGACTCTGAATACATCATATTCACACATAGGTTCCAGACACCATCCTTTAGTTCCCATCCACTCACAGTATAATCGTTTAACCAATTTGTCAAGTCTAAATTGTTTGTAAAATAAATTCTTATTTGGTTTATAACTGTTTCTTGAATCCAACGAAGTGTTTACGATCCCTTAATGAATAAAAGAATCCTAGAATCTTCTGACTAAAACAATAAGACCAAGCAGGTGATATTCTAGTTAAATAGAGTAGCGCCACTTATTGGTCACAAGTAGTGGTAATAACATAAATAGCTTTTCAAGCAACTTACTTAACCCAATGTACCCTCTATTATCATTACACCACCGAAGAGGAAAAACTATTAAACAAGCTGTTAATAAAGATGAGCCATGAGTTTCAATCCAGAAGCAATCCACACTGCAGACAACAGTGTGTAGGCTGCATAATATCAGTTAAGTAAACTGAAAAGCTAATCAGCTTCAGCAGCTGCTCACACGGCACAGTGAGGAGGAATTAATAAGTTTATCTTGAATGCAATAGAGGAAGACCACAGCAACCTGATGGGAAGTTAAGCCTTAAGGGATGTTCACAATATGGGGTGCAAGTTGTAATGTAAAACAGTTATAACAATATTTTAGATTATTTAACCTGTTATAAGAGTAAAAAAAATAAAATTATATATATATATATATATATATATATATATATATATATATATATATACATATTAGCTTTTAAAATACACATTTTACTCCAAATTAAATATTCAGCTTGCCAACTAAATGTTCAGATGGTAATGGTGGCATTATAAAAATAAAAGCCTATCTCTTTCTCCTATGAGAAAATTACGTTGTTAAATTCTGACTTGTTTTGCTTTACAAACCACACCACAAACACACGAGGCGCTCACACTTCTGTGTTACCAAAAACTCTTGATTTCAATCATATCTGCAGCTTCAGGTTCCTAACTTAATAAAAATGAAGGTTAAAGCTCATCCACCTCCCGTTACCATGCTCTTTGTGTTGGCTTGTAATCATATCCTTTGCTCTCCTAGGGGAGGGCCAATTATAACCCAGCATGCCCTGACAGGTACACAGAGGAGAGCATCGGCCCGATGGGGAGGGGGGAACAGGTGAAAACACTAGAGAGCTTTGTCAGCTAACAGCTTTTCCTATGAGGGAGCCACAAGGGCACAGGAAACAAGAGGCAAAAAACCAATTAGAGCATGTTAAGTGCTACCGTACCCTAAAAGTAGCAGGCTCCTCTCAGGGAACTGGTAGTCCTGGAGGCTGCGACTGTTGGCTGTCTGTTCCACTCCAACAATACAGTAACCTTCACTCTTCTTCACCTGCAAGAAATCAATCAGCTCCACGGGCTTCACCTGAAGAAAACACAAACAAACATGGGATGGTTGACAAACTATATAAGCAGGAAAAGCACCTCCTTTCTTCAACTTTCATTCAGCTGCTCTACACGGTGTGATCTAAGAGGATGTTATTTAAGGTCCTGCCAGTTTTGTGAGTGCGAATGGATTTTCGTTACGATGTGCAGGGATCACCTCCAACAGAGGAAGCCAGAGCTCAGATGAGACACTCAGGGACTGAAAGTGCTTGTCGTTGATGTGGTGGAGGCTATCCAGAACAAGACAGCTGGCACCAAATATCTCACAAGTCCTGCAAAGACCTAAAACAACAATAAAAGCAAGAAAGACAAATGCTTCAGAAAAAGTAAGATGTTTTCTGGTATCTTATGGTCACTTTAAACAATATTACAGAGTTTTGCCCTCTTCCAGGATTACGTTTTATTTTTTTTTTTGGAAATCTATAACAGTGAGTCTGATGTTGTCTCTCCCCCATCTCCCCCCCCCCCCCCCCCCCCCCCGCATCCCATAGTGTCCTATTCAATTTTAATTAAGCTCTGCTCAGCATTAGCCGATAGCGTTAGACATCCGCTTACGTACACACCTAAATCATGGAGAGTGCACGCACGTGTTTGCGGACAGACCTAGACTGAGCAGCGCTTTGGAGCTGTTTACGGAACTGAGAAGGCGCAGAGCATTATGGAGCAGCTACAACCACCTTCACAGCCACAAAAATACTGATTCCATGACTGCCTGCTTCTGCTAAAAGACAGACAAAAGTAAAGAAAGGCCCAAAGACTAAACTTGCTGAAAAGTGCCTTAAAGGTGCACTATGTAAGACTGACATCCTGTGGTCAAATGTGGTAAGTGCAGTCAATTGTTTTAAAGGGACTTTATGGAGTTTTGAATTTTTATGCTCGCGATTGCCCCCTCAGGCCAAAAGCGTAACAGCAGTTTCAATAGTAGGCTCGTGCGCGAGGCGCGCATGCTGTACGTGCACACTCCTTAACGAAAATAACTGCTGAGACAGTCCCTTGTGTGTGTGTGTGTGTGTGTGTGTGTGGCCCGGAGGACAGAGGGCAGGAGAACGCGCAGCTAATTAATTAAATAATTTGGTTCTGTACCTTTCTCTTCAGCACAGCCGACAAGGGTTTATGATGGGTCAGTCCTCCTGCATGCTCAGATCATTCCCTTCCCTTGCTTGAAAAATTGTTCCAAAATGAAAGTTGAACCCACATTTTTTATCTGTGAATTCAATGCCGTTCAGCGAGTCTCAAATAAAACTTTGGGCATCTTACTGTAAAACAAAATATCATTAATGTAAAAAATAAATTCTAAATAAATTATGTTCACATCCAGAATCAAACCCGGGCCTTCAGCACGAAAGTCTGATGTCTTACTAGGCGAGCTAAAGCACCAGTAACGTCTTTTGTATCTGTAACATTTATATTCTTGATCACAGCTGAAACAACGTTCAAAGAACGGTTCGGAGGGCTATGCCTGAGCGTGAACGCGCATGAAGCAGCCTGCTCGACCCGAGCATCTCTCTTTTTCTGTGATTTTACAGAAAAACAGTCAATCACAGTAAAAATGCCAGGGCTCATTCTACAGGACCAGGGCATTGCAGGAGAATGTATGAAGAAGAAATTTATTATTTCTATACATGTTTTGGCTGTCAAACTTCCATAATGCCCCTTTAAGCAAAAGGTCACTTTCTCACTGCTGTTCTGCAAGTTTTTTGGCTATTGCCAGTTACAGATCAGCACCAGAAGATACTAGATCAGTGGTCCTCAACAGATGGCCTGTGGGCTGGGTCTGGCCACCACTTTCTGGCCCCTGTTCAACTGGGAGTGTTAATGAGGATGGGAAGAAGTGACACAGACCACAAGCCCTGGATCTTTCTGGCATTCACTCATAGTCTGGACATTCCCAAAACAACCTGGAAGGGGAGTGGTGCTCCAACATCTTCATTATGTTGCATTTCCATTTATTATCTACCTTTACCGACAGTCTCAGCTCCTCTCTGTCGCTTTTCTCAGAGCGTCCAGAGTGTGTGGACTGTCAGCAAAGGGTAGATAAACATTTGACCGCTCTGTGTATGCGTAAGAATCAGAAAAAGTTGCTCTAACATTATTTATTTACCTCTGGTTCACAAGGGCATTATCAGCCAAGGCTAGCAATAGCAGTAGCTCAGCCTAGCATTGTTGTGCGGTTAGCTTTACTGTGACCAGCGTTTATATGATGCTGAAGTGGTTAGGAACATGTAGATGAAAGCAGAAGGGGCTTGTTACCTGTTATCATGCTTTGCTCTAGAAACACGTCTCCTTCGCCTTTTCAAGATGGCTAATTTACATAGAAAGCAGGTCAGACATGGCTCTGACTTTTTGGTATGCTACATTTGAACACCCAAGCTGTATTCATTCAACAACGTAAAAGTGGCTTTATGCTCTACTGCCCCTTTAAAGGTGTGATACGTTTAGGTGGTGCCCTCAGAGGAAACTACAGATTTCTGCTTTAATGGGTTTAAAGGAACATGGTAAATGTGTTAATGCTGAGTCATCTTCAGGACTTTAAAACTGTAATTATAAGAATAAAAGAGAAAAATTAAACACAACAGCTAAAGACACCCAATCTTTTTTTTCACCATCCAATATCGATATTGAATTCTGAAACTGATTTTTGCTATCAATAAATTGTGATCATTTCAGGTTCGCACCTCCCAGATTGGTGGGTTTGTCGATGAGCGACGCTACGACCAGCAGGGCGCCGTTCTGCTTGCCCAGCCGAGCCGCTCTCTGTGGTGGAACCAGCTGAAGTTCTGGTTCCTGATCCTGGATGCCTAACCTCCAGGGCGTGATTTTCTTCTGCACCTCGGCCCAGCGCTCCTCCTTATCCTGCTCACCTGGGAGAACACAACACCACGTCAGCTGAGGAACCCTCCAGCCTCGTGTTCTGCACCAGTGTCAGTTTTACTTCTGTCTTGCTGGACCCAGTCTCCGGGTTGGAGCTGGCCCAAATCTGGAGCAGGGTTCCTTAAAGGAAATGACGGACTTTCAGAAAACGATGACAGCTTCTCAAACTTCCACGGTGGAATCCACTCGTCATCGGACACCTCCGATAAACTCGGAAAAGTGTAGAATATGGTCTAAAAAAAGCATGAAACGAAGCAGCGTTTAACACTCTTACTGCACATGAACATGTGTGACGTAAACACGCTACCTCACCTCAACACTATAATCCCTGACTGGGTGAAAGGCACCAAAGAAGAAGTGGCTCTGAATTCTCATCCAGTTCTTGTTGGCGTTCCTTGAGAGAAAAAAAAATACAAATAAATACATTTGCTCTGTAAAAACTACTCCAAGTGCTGCAGCTGCTCTGCTCTGACCCAGTGTTCTGCATGGCCTCAGCCTGGTTCAGACAAGCTTTCACCACAGAGGACATTCCTGTGAAAGCATCCACCTCCTCCTCCTCCTGCAGGCGTTCAGTCAGGCTCCACACCTTCTTCAGAGCCAGTAGGGAGTACAGGCGAACGCTGAAGTTGTGACTGAAACACGACTGCAGGATGACGTCCAAGGCTTTACGCAGCTGCACAGTCTGAAAGACAAGAAATGCTGGAAAATATTCTCTACGTGTTTGTTATGAAAGAAACAGAAAACTAGTTCAATTAAAAGGTTTACCTTATCCTTAACATGTGGAAGAATGACACTGAAGTGAACCAGGACTGACAGGAAGGTGCAGACACTTGTTTTGGTCTGTTCATGATCCTTTTACAGCAAAACAAACACAAAAAACATTCAATTATCCTGTTTTTCAGATTATTCTGATATATGTGCAGTTTAGAGGCTCACCAGATTAAAACAGGTCCAGAATCTGTCAACATGCTGAGGATACTTAAGAAGAATCAGAACCATCGTCCACTCAATCAGGTACTTCACTGAAGCTTGGTTACTTTGAAACCCGGCTTCAAACACATGGTTCAGCAGAGTGGCAACAAACTCCTGTATAAACACAGATTCACACACACCCACACACACACATCAACACACTGAAAGCAGTAATTTCCTGGTAGAGCATCGGCGACGCTGCTGCTATCCACCCTACCTCTCTGAGTTTGGGCAGCAGCAGCAACAGTGTTTGCCAAACTCTGTTTTTGACTCGATGTTGCAGGGAGTTGCTATGGTAACGCACTTTAGACTTTGAGATGTTGCTATCCTGCAGAGAAGAGGAGTTGAGAAAGAAAGGATGATTTCAGAAAAACAACTGTCCTTTGGTACAAGTGGATAAAAAAGGACAGGCTTGTTTTTATTTTTGCGTCTTTTTTTATAAGTTGAAAGTCAAATATAAGAAAAACACTCTAAAACTTTTCATGAGTTACAGTGGGGCAAAAAAGTATTTAGTCAGCCACCGATTGTGCAAGTTCTCCCACTTAAAATGATGACAGAGGTCAGTAATTTACATCATAGGTACACTTCAACTGTGAGAGACAGAATGTGAAAAAAAATCTATGAATTCACATGGCAGGATTTTTAAAGAATTTATTTGTAAATCAGGGTGGAAAATAAGTAATTGGTCACTTCAAACAAGGAAAATCTCTGGCTCTCACAGACCTGTAACGTCTTCTTTAAGAAGCTTTTCTGTCCTCCACTCGTTACCTGTATTAATGGCACCTGTTTGAACACATTATCTGTATAAAAGACACCCGTCCACAGCCTCAAGCATTCAGACTCCAAACTCCACTATGGCCAAGACCAAAGAGCTTTCGAAGGACACCAAGAAAAGAATTGTAGACCTGCACCAGACTGGGAAGAGTGAATCTACAATAGGCAAGCAGCTTGGTGTGAAAAAATCAACTGTGGGAACAATTATCAGAAAATGGAAGACATACAAGACCACTGATAATCTCCCTCGATCTGGGGCTCCACGCAAGATCTCATCCCGTGGGGTCAAAATGATCATGAGAACGGTGAGCAAGAATCCCAGAACCACACGGGGGGACCTGGTGAATGACCTGCAGAGAGCTGGGACCACATTAACAAAGGTCACCATCAGTAACACACTACAACCACAGGGAATCAAATCCTGAAGTGCCAGACGTGCTCTGCTGCTGAAGCCCATCCAGGCCCGTCTGAAGTTTGCCAGAGAGCACATGGATGATACAGCAGAGGATTGGTAGAATGTCATGTGGTCAGATGAAACCAAAGTAGAACTTTTTGGTATAAACTCAACTCGTCGTGTTTGGAGGAAGAATACTGAGTTGCATCCCAAGAACACCATACCTACTGTGAAGCATGGGGGTGGGAACATCTGCTTTGGGGCTGTTTTTCTGCTAAGGGGACAGGACGACTGATCCGTGTTGAGGACAGAATGAATGGGGCCATGTATCGTGAGATTCTGAGCCAAAACCTCCTTCCATCAGTGAGAGCTTTGAAGATGAAACGTGGCTGGGTCTTCCAAAACGACAATGATCCCAAACACACCGCCCGGGCAACAAAGGAGTGGCTCAGTAAGAAGCATTTGAAAGTCCTGGAGTGGCCTAGCCAGTCTCCAGACCTCAACCCCATAGAAAATCTGTGGAGGGAGTTGAAAGTCCGTGTTGCTCGGCGACAGCCCCAAAACATCACTGCTCTCGAGAAGATCTGCATGGAGGAATGGGCCAAAATACCAGCTACTGTGTGTGCAAACCTGGTAAAGACCTATAGTAATCGTTTGACCTCTGTTATTGCCAACAAAGGTTATGTTACAAAGTATTGAGTTGAATTTTTGTTATTGACCAAATACTTATTTTCCACCCTGATTTACAAATAAATTCTTTAAAAATCCTGCCATGTGGATTCATGGATTTTTTTTCACATTCTGTCTCTCACAGTTGAAGTGTAGCTATGATGTAAATTACTGACCTCTGTCATCATTTTAAGTGGGAGAACTTGCACAATCGGTGGCTGACTAAACACTTTTTTGCCCCACTGTATATAATGACTAACAAAACGCTTTCAGAACTGATCCAGTTTGTTTCCAAAGAGGTTGGATGTGTTCAAAGTGATGTGCCAGTTTTTGAACTTCTGATCTTCTTGAAGGAAAAGATGGCGTGAGAGATCAACAGGTAGATTGGTGCTGCATCTGCAGTGATGCGGGCGTTGTACCGGTCTGTTGTGGTAAAGAGAGAGCTGAGCCGCAAAGCACTAGCCTGGAAAGTCAGACTGAATAAATATATTATTATAATAAATATATTATGTAGTCTGATGTAGTCTGACAACGCTCCACTGACGGCTCTAGGTCGTGCGGCGGGTTCTACCGTTGTCTTTCAAATGATCTCCGCATGCTAGTGGACAATGAACAACGTGATGTACTGACCGCAATGGATGTCAGTAAATGAGGCGGTCCGCTGTTGAAGGAGGCAAAAACACATCCTTTCTCAAAAGAGTTGTCGCCATCTTGTTCCACTCCGTCGCATCGTCCCGCCCACCAGACGAACACAGCGCCTTAATTGGCCCACAAAGCGGATAGAGCGCTGTGATTGGTCCCTAATGGTGGGCCAATCACAGCGCTGTTGGTTTGAAATCCCTATTGAGAGCTGTGATTGGCCCGCCAGAATGCTGCTAGGGGCCGCAGAGGTTCCAGTGGAGCGTTCCTATACACCAAACTTTGCACTAGGCCTTTCTCAGTGGCCTAGTGGTAGAGTGTCCGCCCTGAGACTGGGAGATCAGGGTTCGACTCCTGGTCGGGTCATACCAAAGACTTTGAAAAAATGGGACCCAATGCCTCCCTGCTTGACACTCAGCATTAAGGGGTTGGATTGGGTGGTTGAACCACCAAATAGTTCCCGAGCGCGGCTGTGTCTGCAGCTCACCGCTCCCTCAGGGGATGGGTCAAATGCGGAGAACGAATTTCGCACACACACCTGTGTGTGTGACAACTAATGGGACTTTAACTTTAAAGCACAGCTCTGAATTTACCGGTCATCTACGTTCCCACCCTCACCTATGGTCACCAGCGTTGGGTAGTGACCAAAAGAATGAGATTGCGGATACAAGAAGCCCAAATTAGTTTTCTTCACAGGGTGTCTGGGCTCTCTCTTACAGAGAGGGTGAGAAGCTTGGGCATCTGGGAGGGACTCAGAGTAGATCTGCTGCTCCTCCACATCAAGAGGAGCCAGTTGAGGTGGCTCGGGCATCTAGTTAGGATGCCTCCATGGTGAGGTTTTCCAGGCACGTCCAACCGGGAGAAGACCTAAAGGAAGACCCAGGACCCGCTGGAGGGAAGATGTCTCACAGCTGGCCAGAGAACGCCTTAGGATTCCCCCAGAGGAGCTGGCCCAAATGGCTGAAGAGGGGGAAGTCTGGGCCTCTCTGCTTAGGCTTCTGCCCCCGCAACCCGACCCTGGATAAGCGGCCAAAAATGGATGGATGGACAAAAAAAAAAACATCCAACACAGCCCTTCAAGAACATTTGTTTTCTCTCATAGCACTGTGTTAACACATCTGCTTTTACATGACCAAGACGCATTGTTTCGTCACCTTTTTCAGCAGCTGCATGACTAACTCCTCCATGAGTCTTTTATGCTGCTGATCAGCTGGATCCAAGCGGCTGAGAAAAGCCAGCACACATGTGCGGGGAAGCTGATCATCCCTGTTATCGCTGCAAAAACAAGAGCAGCAGATCAGCTAGGAACAGATCAACAATGCGAGAGAGCCCTCTAGTGGTGGAGATTTTAACTCTGCATGACTGAGCACAAACATAAAACTCACCTTGAAACTGCAACGTTAGCTGCACACTCATCACCAAGCTGCTCCACATATATTTGAACATCCTGACTGAGTCTTTGAAAGAGTAACATTGAATCATTAAAACAGGTGTGATGATACGCATCTGAGAAACGCTGCCAAAACAAACCGTTGATCTCTTCTGAACACCGGTCCGTAAACACAGGCCTCAGCGATCATATCAACGTGGCTGAAAACACTAGAAAACACCTCGTTGTCGGCTTGCTCGCTGCCTCCTTGGTGCTTGGGCAGCCACGTGTGACAGCAGTGTTGAAGCAGGATGCCAAACACTCCACTTTTGGACTGAGACAGCTCCAGCAGCTCTGTGGCGATCTGAAAACAAGCATTCAGCACCAACACGTGTAAACGCAGCATCTGGTAAACAGATAATAAGCGTTGTCCAGACAGGTGTGAGTCACCTGCTTCAGAGCGACCATGACGGCGGAAGCTTCGGTGGGTGTCGGCTTGAGGAGTTTGTGCTGAAAGGCCATGGAGATGAAAGCTGACAAAGCTGGCCAGAAGTCGTGAGCGTTGGTGCTGAGCCCCAACACGAGCTCCCAGCTCAGAGTCACCGCCTGCACACACAGCTCCTCCTCGTCGTGCACCAACTGCAACCAGCAACAAAAATAACGGCTTAGGCTGCTGGTGACAACAATTCTTGGTGGGGTTTTGCATGAAAAGATGTCCCGTTTTAATCCATCATAAGTTTACAAATGGAACAGCCGGAAAACAACAACACTATATTTATATCTCCTCTCTTCTAAAGAAGCAGTTTCACAGATAATGTGAATTATTAAATTTGACAATGG